CAGGGTTCCATGATTATCTTCTGTGTCTGTGTTAATTGGTTTCCCTTTTCTTTGTTGAAGAGGGTCTGTGCAATCCTTCTGCCTAGTCCGCCATCTTGCTGGAACTCCATGCAAACAATTCTTAACAATGAAATGGGATCATGGTACAGATGACCCACTTAGATTTATATTGCCAGTATATATTTAGATGTTGAATAAGACTTCTAATATTTTGAGAATATTTTGGGAGTATTCTGATATTTTGGGAATCTAGTCACTTAAAAAGGATCTCTGATGGCGTAGTGCCTAAGGTATTTGATTACTAACCAGAAGGTTGGTGGTTCAAATCCACCAGCCTCTCCATAGAAGGAAGACTAGGCAATCTACATCCATAAAAATTTACTGCCTCAGAAACCCGAAGGGGGTCACTGTGAGTCAGAGTCAACTCAATGGTTGTGAGTTTGTTTTTTTGGTTTTAGTCATTTAAATGTAATGATTAAACTTTAGTTTATTATTGGTTATGAAAGAAGCAATATGTATAGTCTTGGCACTCAGTTCCATTTCCTAGTTTCCACTATTCCAATGGGAGATCATATTTTTCAGTTGATTTTCATCTCAGTTTATATTTCTGGATGGGACCAGATCATCATATATGTTGGTTTTACAGCATTTAGAAAGAATTTAGGCTTACATGGTTTCCTTTGTGATTGTTTTATCGTGAGATAATTGTTAGTGGATGGGAGCATTATGCAATTTTATGTAAGATTTGTTGAAGGTACACTGCAAACCAGGCTTTAAAAGATAAGCATTTAGCTTTATGAAAAATTCTCGTATACTCGTTTAAACTCTTTACATTCTGATTTTCAAAATTAATGATTCAGAATGAAATCTATGACTTGAATAGTTGAAATATACCTGGTATTATTCACCAGTTAACAATAACAACTGTTTTATTGTGTATACTTAATTACAAAGTATTTTTAATCTACCACCTGAATTGAGCCATATAATAGTTCTCTGGAAAAATAGTTGGTCTTTATTATCACTATAATGGGCTTAATAAAAGTCAAATAAATTTTGAAGAATCATCTTATTCTGAAATGGTTGAGTCAAGCCTTCATTCTAGATGTTTCAGTTTTAAATTCAGTGATTTCATTATATCAAACTTACCAAAATTACATAGTTCATTGTAGAAAGGAAACATCATAGTGTTTTTTACTTTACTCAATGTAGGAAAACCAAAGAAAGAAAACAGAAACATTTAAACACATATAAATTAAATAAGGGATGATGAGAAACAATAAGGACATGATGTATATTTTTTGATTGTAGAATTGCAAACTTGAATAATATATAAATTTGCAATTAGAGTTAAGCGTCAAGTAATCTCAGAAGACCTGAAGTTTTGAGCTAAAGTAGATACAGTTAACTGTAAAAAACCAAAAACCAAACCCACTGCTGTCAAGTCGATTCCAACTCATAGAGATCCCCATGGGGTTTCCAAGGAGGTAAATCTTTACGGAAGTAGATTGTCCAGTCTTGCTTCCATGGAGTGGCTGGTGGCTTTGAACCATAAACTTTGCGATTAGCAGTTAGATGCCTTAGGCACTGTGTTACTGTAGAAGGCCTTTTTTTCTTTTACTTCTTTTTTAATGCTATTATCTACGTTTTGACTCTTTAGGAGATAAAAATTGGAGAAAGTTTTAAATGAGAAATAATTACCCACTGCCATCAGCCACTCCTCAGAAGGAAGGTTGGGCAATCTACTTCCGTAGTGATACCGCTTTGGAAACCCAAGGAAGGGTCGCCATGAGTTGGATCCGACTCCATGGCAGTGCATTTTTATTTATTGTCCCATCAAGTTGATTCCAAGTCATAGCGACACCCACTGGGTTTCCGAGGTGATAAATCTTTATGGAAGTAGATTGCCCCGTCTTCCTTCTGTGGAGTGGCTGGTGGGTTTGAACTGCCAACCTTATGGATAGCAGTCAAATGCCTTAGCCACTGCACCACCAGAGGTCCTTGAAAAATAGTTACACAGAAACAAATAATAACGTTCAAAATAGTAAATTATAATAACAAATAACAAAATTATTCCATGGAAGAAATTTTAATTTTTCATTAAAGTTAAAATATTTATCCTTGTTGTTAAATGAGCTAAGAAAGTTGAACTCTAAAAGTAATTCTCTACAGGAAACAGGAATACATTTTAGTGGTCTAGGGCAGGAAGACTTTAGAATTTTTATATGTAAAGCATTTCCTGGAGTTTCAATGTCCAAGGGAAGATCAAACATATTGCTTCATTCCGATGCCTGAGCAGAGGCTGAGACAAGCTGGATAGTGCTGATTAAACTGCTATGTGAAGTTCAGATCTGCCTGCAGCTGATAATTATGTAAAATGCAGCAGTCCTCCAAATTACCCTGGCCCTTTTTAAAATAGCATATAAACTTCTCTTTAATGAAGCTGTCTGTAATCAACTCTACCTTCTCCTATGTTGTTGTTATGCGCTGTCCAGTTGAACCTGACTCATGATGACCCCTCTTTGGGTTTCCAAGGCAGTATCACTATGGAAGCAGATTGCCAACCTTCCTTCTCGGGAGTGGCTGGTAGGTTTGAACCACCAGCCTTCTGGTTAGCAGTCAAATGCCTTAGGCGGTACACTACCAGAGCTCCTACCTTCTCCTATAGCCTCTCAGCACTCACTTACATACAGTTCAGCATACTCTTTTATTGATTATACAACTTTCTACACCTCCACGGTGTCTATCATGTGTTTTTTACCTGAATCTTTATCCAGTTGTCCCTATTGCCTAACACTTGTTAAAGGCAAGGATCTCTGTCTTCTCTATCCATTCTCTCTTCTCTAATCAGAGTCTCTCTGATCAGAACCATGAGCATTCTTAGACAGTGACAGAAATGACAAGGAGAACATCAGAGGTCCATAAGTAAAGTCACAGGAGTGTAAGAGTGTCTCTTCTTCTTCATCAGTCCTGAGGAGCTGCCCTGATAATTTGCAGTAATTATGGTAAAAGATACTCAGAGACTTGTTGTTGTTGTTGTTATGTATCGTCAAGTTGACTCCGACTCATAGCGATCCCTCCTTGGGTTTCCGAGGTGGTATCACTACGCAAGTAGATTGCTCAACCTTCCTTCTGAGGAGTGGCTGGTGGGTTTGAACCGCCAGCCTTCTGGTTAGCAGTCAAGTGCCTTAGGCACTACGCTACCGGAGCTCTACTTCCGTAGTAATATTGCCTCGGAAACCCAAGGAGGGGTCGCTATGAGTCAGGTCTGACTTGACAGCAGTGTGTTTGGTTTGGTTTTGGTTAAGGGAAGATAGACTAAAACAGAGAAATAGGATGGTGTGGCAATCACATTGACATGAATTTGACTCTGTTTAAATACTTAGTAGGCAAATGACCATGGATCAGACTTCACCTTTCACAGACTCTTTTCTTACATTAAAAAATTTGGAAATAATAATATCTGCTTTGCAAAATTTTCTAAAGATTAGAAATTAATGCAAATTAATTATGTTGGTATGCAAATTAACATATACTAAATACTCTATAGACAGATGGTGGTTCTTATCTCCTTGGTAAAGATCAAATAAGATCACATCCCAGCTCGCTTGGGACATGTGGTATACTGTTTTCTCTAAGACTGGTGTTCCTACATTAGTAGCTAAATTTGATTTGAATATAACGAAACCATCAGGAAAACAAAATAATAAGAAGCTCTCAAAAAGATAGCCTAAAATTCCCTGTTTTTCTGAATGAGATGATCTAAGAAGAGGGAACCTAAAAACATAGGACTTTAATTTCCTCTCATGGACCATAAAATCTAGATTATTCAAAGTGAGATTTATACTGGAATGAGGTTTGGCATGATAGTCCAACAATTTTGAAGGAGGGTGTGAAATCATGCCACTATTTTCTTTTTGTTTGTTTCGGTTTTTTAAAGTTGTCTAAAAGGATTATACTTGTGGATAATTTCTGCTTCCTTTTTCTTCTATTGAAAATAATTTGTAAAATGCTATGACTTTTATCCCACAATTTAGAAATCAGCCTCATTTTCAAATATTTTGTGACTTCAATACATAGTGTTTCAAATGATACACCCTAATTTTTGTTTCATGAAGTACAAATAAACACTCCTATCTGTTTTTTTTTTTCTGTCATTAAAATGATTAAGAGTACAGATGAATCAGATTTTTAAAGAAACATTTCCTACAAATATGTTGGAACAAGAACCTTTGTATACCTCAGTTCTTGCAGTTGTACAGTCTGAAGAGTGCGCAACCCACAATACTATTAAATCTAAAACTAATCAAAGAACCAAAACACAGTTTTAACATAGCCTCTTTATCTTACATCTTTAACTGTGTTTTCTTCCCAATTTTTCACCTAAAAACCTTTTGTTGTTCTTTTTTTTTGGGGGGGGGGGGTGGAGCGTCCTATTGAGAAACTTTGAGAGCCATAGTCTCACAGAACTGCAGAGTCACCCAGTATCTGCAAAAACTAGCAGCTGCCTCAGCTGAATCTGTCTCCTGAAGATAAAGTGGATTGTCTACAGTTGGCGGGATTCTGGGCCCAAGGAGAAGCTTTTTTTTTTTTTTTTTCCTCTCTCTTTGCCACATATTTAACGTTTTCTGTTATCTCTATCTGAATTAGAGTAGGCAGTTCCATTTGAATTGTTTCTCTTTCTGTCTTGTGGATACATTTTATGTTGCCAGGTTCTAGATCTTTAGGAAAAAATGGAGAATTTTCCAAAGGAAACTGTGAGTACAGAATTCTTTACAGTGAAATTTGTCACTAATATAACTAGGAAAGCTCTGTTCTTTGAACATTCAGCACTGTCTTTGACAGGGATATGAAGAATTCTTTTTGACTTTTAGAAGTGGTTTATTTCACTCAAGGAGCCCTGTGTGGCACAATGGTTAAATGCTTGGCAGCAGGTGGAACCCACTAGCTGTTCTGCAAGAGAAAGATATGGCAGTCTGCTTTTGTAAAAACTTACAGCCTTGAAAACCCTATGAGACAGTTCCACTCTGTCCTATAGGTTGCTCTAGGAGCTCCACTGGTAAGAATTCAACTGCATGATAATGGGTTTGGTTTGGTTTGGGTTATTTCATTCAGTGTAATGTTTTCAAGGTTCATCTGTGTTGTAGCATGTTTCAGTATGATTGTATGATTCCACTTATATGAAATATCCAGAATAGGCAAGTGTATAGAAGCCATAGTTTATTAGTAGTTACCAAGGGTGAATGGGAGGGAAGAGACAAAGGAGACTCACTGCTTAGGGGACACTGAGCTTCTGTTAAGGGTCATGGAAAAATTTGGAAATGGATAATGATAATGACTGAACATGATATGCATAAACTAATGCCAATGAATTGTATAAGTGAAGAACATTGAAAGGCAAATGATTTTTTAGCATATTCAACAATTTGTTTGTAATACTTTGTTATAAACCCTATTGCCCTCAAGTCAATTCTGACTCATAGACACCCTAGAGGACAGAGTAGAACTGCCCCATAGACCCCACAGACAGATTATAAATCTGTAATCTTTACCAGAACAGACTGACACATCTTTTTCTGGTGGCTTTGAACTACTAACCTTTCAGTTAGCAGCCTAGTGCTTAACCACTGTTCCAACAAGTTTCCTTTTGTTACATCTATATTTACCACAGATTTAAAGATGAAACCACTTTTTTTCTAAATTGTGCTTAAATATGTTTACCACAAATTTCTTTAAAAAATGGTATCAGTTTAACTCTTTTTAAATGTCTCACATTGAACAATGAGTTTATGTCTATACAGCACCTAGATCCAATAATGATCTGTTTAAAGTCAGTTCACATAAAGGACAATGAGATGACCCACAACAAACTACTACTCAGTAGAGAGATGCGTCTCCATGGAATGATTTAATTCTATAGCCACACTAACAATAGCCATCCACAGAGCAGGGATTTTACCTAAGAGAAAAAAAGAGAAACTAAAATTAAAGCTTGGAAAAATTGTGCCCAAATCTAGCTGAATGAGGTCCATCTTACAGGGATGATGCTGGTGTTTGTAACAGACAGAACTGATCATTTTATGAGTAGGATAATTTAAGTTGTTTGACAGTACTGAGTTTTATGGTATAAAAGCTAATTATTGAGATCCTAAAAATTTGAAATTTGTGGAATTGGGTAGAAGAAGGACTGAACTTTTTGATTTATATTTTTGCTGAAAATTGCAAAGAAATTAAAAGAATAAACACTATATGAAGTGCATGTTAAAGTGTGAAGAAAACAAAATTTTCAAATTTCTTGTGTATAATATGTAACTAAATTAATTGCAAACCATTTTAAATTAGTCATTAAATTCGGTTTATAATTATCATTACTTGTCAACACCTTTTTTAGGCTTTGAAAGCAATAAAATTACATTTCATTTTTATCTGTCTATGAGTCTGTGATTTTACTAATTTAAACTTGTCTTTTATTATTAGCCCAAAGTAATTCTGTTCATATAATTTGGTGAATGTTGACAAAGATTGAGAAAAGCTGGGACTGTCTTCTGGATAATCAAGAATTATTAGCCTAAGTGGTAGCAGTTTATGCTTAAAATACTAGGAATGTATTATAGTCCATTTGACAATATTTAAGGGTCTTTTACAGGCTTAAAAAAAATCTGAACATAGTACTAATATGAATAAAAATTTGGGAAGCATTAAGAGGGTCAGTATGTTATATAACTGGAACTAGAATTAGATAAAAGCTTTTTGACTTACAGGTTATTGAGAGCAGTGGACCAAAGGTGTTGGAAACAGCTGAAGAGATCCAGGCAAGGCGTCAGGAGGTGTTGGCTCGTTACCAGAGGTTCAAGGAGCTGGTTGCTGAAAGGGGTCAGAAGCTTGAAGAGTCCTATCACTACCAGGTTTTCAGGCGGGATGCAGATGACCTGGAAAAATGGATCTTGGAGAAACTCAAGATTGCAGATGATAAGAGCTATGAAGACCCAACTAACATACAGGTCACTCAGTTCCATTGATTCCCTCAGAGCAGACTCTAAGATCTCTAAGGGGAAAAAAAGAAGTTTGTATTTATTTTAATGTTAAAAAGTGAGTGTGGGTACAACCAGATTCCATTTAGAGAAAAACAAAAATTAAAAAAAAAAAAAAAAAAAATCTAGTAGCCTAGGGAATTGAAGGAAGAACTAAGGGAAAATCTAAATGTACATCATTTATTAAATGGTATGGTAAGACTTTGGAGGGGTGCAACTGCAAAAAAAAAAAAAAAAAAAAAAAAAAGAAAAGAAAAGAAGGAGGCAATTATTTGTGGGTTGTTGAATACACAGCACACTTTCTTATAATGAACTTATATTTGGGGTTTACATTCTTGTAATATACACATGCATATCTGTAACTAAAGGAGGAAATGTTACAGAAAGATTATAGATTTGTTAGGGACAGTTATTCTGCCTCTGAGTAGCTCATATCTTTGACTTCTTAAACTTCATGGTCTTATTTAAAACAAAGCAACAATAAAAAAGACAAATGACATAATTCTAGACACTATCCAATGGATGTAACAGTCATCTGAAAAACTATTGGCAAAACACTCAGTATCAACTGTTTGAGGAATGCATGGCACATGATGTGACTTCAATATCTGGTGACATTAAGGATGGAATTGAGGTGAAGAGACATCAATACCTCTGAAGTATCTACTCTCCACTCTGCTCAAAAAGACAGGGGTCACCAGGGTAGTCATTTTTTCCTGAAGTTGATATTCATGCTCTTTCTTAGTCCAAAGGAGAAGCCCTAGGCAGACAAGTTTGGTGGAGGCCCCCTGTCCTACCTCTGAGGTAGTATTATAGCATGTGGTTGTAGCATAGTCAGATCAGAAGAAAGGGTTACATGTCTAAAAGGGAAAATTGATATTGGAGAAGGAGCACCTGTTAGAAAGAATAAAGTGAAATCTATTAAATGGGTTAAATTCATATTTGACATCAAGAACAGAGCCCGGCATGCAATAACTTCTCAAAAAAAAAAAAAAAAAAAGATCATTATATTCGACGGCACCTAACAACAACAACATAATCATCATCACCCATGTTGTGTTCTATCTTCAACAGCAGTTATTTCTCTTTTCTGAAGAGGAGAAGCACTATATGATACAATTTTTTATTCTCATAGAAATCAGTTGAGTCTTTAAAATAATAGGAAGTTTACAAAGAAGTCCCCCAAAACAGGTAGGATAGGAAAAGGTCTTCTTCTACGGTCTTTGACTTGAGTCTAGAATCTTTTGAAAATCTCTACCTAAAGAGCTGATTTTGTTTAGGATCTGACCATTTTAGCTACAGTTTTAGGTTAGCACTTAATGTAGGTTGGGAAATGAGTAGTTTTGTCTAGAAATAAGAAGAGGAAAAAGGACCTCTTTATGATTCAGGGAGGTGAGGCCCATTAACTATAAACTCTAATATTCAAATTACAGGGGAAATACCAGAAACATGAATCCTTTGAAGCAGAGGTGCAAGCAAAATCAAGGGTTCTTCCTGAACTGGAAGAAATCAGGAAAGTCCGCTTTGCTGAGGGCCATTTTGCCCATGAAGATACAAAGGTAAATTTATGGTAGAGCTCTTGAGGAGAAGTTTATAATTCCTGATTTTTACCAGACTTTTGGTTGATTATTACAGGTATAAAGTTGTATGTACCTGGATTGGAAAAAAAAGGCTCCTGCCTGTTACCTTCTCCTGGAATTGGGGCAGGAAAAAAGAAATAGTTTAATTTCCTTATACTCCTAGGGGTTGGGGGAAGACCTATGATACAAAAGCTATCACTGGTTGGTACATTATTTTCTGAGAGGTACTATCATTACCACAAACTGAATAGCTTAAAATAACAGAAGTTTATTCTGTCACAGTTCAGAAATCTTTAAGTCTGAAATCAAAGTATCAAGTGGGCAAAGTTCCTTTCAAATCATCTAGGGAAGGATCCATCTTCACCTCTTCCAGCTTCAAATAGCTGGTGTTCCTTGGTTTGTGGCAACATAACTCCAAGCTTTGCCTCTGTCTGTCTCTCCTCCTCTTCTTATAAGGATACCAGTCATACTGGATTTGAGCCTACCATAGTGACCTCATTTTAACCTGTTTAAAAAATTGATTGAAAAGATCCTATTTCCAAATACTATCACATTCAACATCTTTTGGGGAGACACAATTCAACCCATAACAGATGATTTCACACTCTTCTTTATGCCACTGCAGGATATTTTGGCTCAAGGTCAAGATCCTCCTCCAACCCTATTTCACATTTCCTGGATAAATTAGTTTTCACAATGTCCTTTCTAATTATTCTAATGTCAGGGTCCTTTTCCCTTAACCTTCACTTCAAACAAGGGTTGCCTTCTCATTTGGGTCTTCTCTGAAATTTTGCCATATTGGTTGGTCTATGAGTCGGGGCCGACTCGACGGCACATAACAACAACAACAACAACATGATGACTATTTATCTTCCTACCATACACCCTAGAACTACTATTACAGCTCTCCAAACTCTCTTTTATTCATTTTGAGAAACTATTGAAATACCATGTGTTCACAAAATCTTATCTGAATATTCTAGAACTGAAGATCACTGATTTTAATTAACATTCATCACTCTAGAACCCATTTTTAATCTAACAGCTATTTTTCAAATTATTCTATTTTTGTGTGGCTGGGTTTTCTTTCTTTTTTCTGTGTATGTACTTTTTAAATTGTCAAAACAAGTTTGCATCATGTATTTTAAAATTGGGTTGTTTTTCCATACTTAGTATACAAAGTCTAGCCCACTTTGCTATCAACAAAATGTGGTTAGGGAAATCAGACTTTAACCACAGTAAATCTTAATTATGCAGAAGACTCTATAGCAGAAAAATCTCAAAACTTATTCACTGATATAAACTAGAAATCATTTCTGTATTATTCACATTAATAAAACATTTGAGAAAGATTTGAAATATCCTCACAACTATCAGATTCATTAGTATGTAGATTTTTATGTTTGTGATATGTCAGATTGTACCACTGCAGGATTTGGAGAGAAAGAAGGTCCATGTGCTACTTTGAGCAATGAAGTAGTTGAAAAATATGGGATTCTTGAAAACATGACATAGATGATAAGTTCAATATCATAAGACACATAATAGTTGTTCTAAGCTAACCTGACATTCAAAGCCTTTAACTATACAGTCTCATTGAAATCTTATTGCTTTGGTACAACTGACTTCCTCACTGCTAAGTAAAACTGTATTTCTCATTTTTTCTGGAAAATGGTTTATGCTATTTCTTTGGTGCCTTTGCAGGTGGTGTTGCTGTGCTTGGAAGACCCTTTACCAATCATCTGCCTGTCAAAATTCTATCTGTTCTTCAAGGCCAAGTTCAAATGAGTACTCTTCCTTGAATCTTACCTCCTTCCTGTCCTATTGTTTGTAATCACTCCCCTCTCTAAACTCCAAAGCACTTATTTGTTTACTTAGTTTTTCTCTTGTGGAAGATTATATTTGGCTTGGTTTAATTTCCATATATATTCTATTTCTACCTTTAAACATATTTTTAAGCAATTAATGCACGAGTGGAGAAATTTTTATACGGGTCCCTCTCTGCCCATATCTTAGAGTCTACTACTCCACAGACTCCGTGCTTGAGTGGGTCTACTTCTTTTTCCCAAAGGCCCATCTGGAGGAACTGCGCCGTCTGTGGGACCTGCTGCTAGAGCTGACCCAGGAGAAGGGCGCCCTCCTGCTGCGGGCCCTGAAGCTCCAGCAGTACTTACAGGAGTGTGCTGACATCTTGGAGTGGATTGGAGACAAGGTATAACTGCATGCAAGACCTCTTGCTCTTCTGTCCCAAACACCTCATTGCAATTTACTGTAAGTTATTAGTAGAGGGGAAAAAAAAAAGATCAGTCTATTTCTGGACATTGTTTTTGTTTCTTGGAAGGTGAGGATTTTGACAAAGATTTGTATTCTGGAGATTTTTAACTTTGTAATGGCTAAGTCTAAACTTATGAATCTGAATATGAGGATGGGAAGACTTAACACAGTTTGTGCATTGAAAGATGGTCTTTCTCTCATAATCCTTGACTCCTTTTCATAGGTTTTTGCTCTCACTTTGATGCCAGCTTGGGAAGATAGCCACTTCTTTCCCTAATCCCTTGTCCTCAAAAACCTATATCTATTGAGGTTCTAATTTTCCAAACACTTAAAAGTTAGAAGTGAAAATTCAGACAAGTAAGTGCTTATCACACCGCTTTTGTAGAAATTCACTAGGTTGAAATGAGTAAAATCAGGATGAATTTATTTTTTGTATTTTCAAACACAAAAATGGTTCTTCCAGGGACTCAGGCCAATAAAAATGTCCCTGGTCTTTCTGAAGGATTGCCATAAAACCCACTGTTCCCTGGATTTAGGTAGAACTCTCTTGCTTCTAGATTTACCTGGCAAGAGTTCTCCCAGGGTCTACCATCTAAGTTATTCTGGGATTGTGGGCAGGTGTCTTAGGCTTTGACCTGCAGAAATTTCTAAATGCTTGCTGGTGACTCAATAGATTTTTCTACAATTTTAGGAGGCGATAGTGACATCAGTGGAACTGGGTGAGGACTGGGAGCGCACAGAGGTTCTACATAAGAAGTTTGAAGAATTCCAAGTGGATCTAGCAGCTCGGAAGGAGAGAGTAGATGCAGTGAACCAGTATGCTAATGAGTGTGCTGAGGTGAGTTGCAAATAACAGAGCTTTTCCAGGAATATGGTCTTGATCTTTAAGGAGAATCTCTGGCAAATAGTAGACATGATTAGAGAAAGATCAGAAGTAGTAAGAAAGCATATGAATGAATGTCATACCTCCTACATTGTGCAGTTCAAAGATTACTCACGCTTATGCAACACTCTTTCTTCATGAAGTGGAGCAAGAATATGATAGAAAAAATGTAAAATAATATTAGATTTTGGGACACATTACATGATTTTTGGAAGGAGAGGAAAGGAGGTAGATTTACCTGCAATTAATAAAAATATTTCAGTTGGCAATCTTTAAGTAAACAATGGCTAATCATGGGAATAAATGACTAGTATGTGTAAGAAAACTGGAAAGCCTGTCTAATTATATATATAATTTAAAACTCAAAACAGTTGTCTACATTGTGTTTTCTCATTTGTGGTTTAAATATATTATGACTGAAGCTTTGTAGTGGGAATGATTTTTCTGTGTTAATAGACCTAATACTATAGATAAATGGTTACTGCAATAGTCCTCCTTTTTTTTTGTCTAGGTCATATTTCTAACAAAGTCTATATTTTCCCCTTCACCACTTTTCATTTGCTTGGAAAGTATTTTTAGTTAATTATTACCATCTATCAAGCCACACAAAACTTAAACTACAAACATCTTATTTGCACATCATTCAGTGAGTTAGTTATTGAAACTCCTCAGTTGGGCAGTTCTGGTTCACCTGTTATTCTCTTTCTGCAATTACTTGGTGGCTCAGCACAGGTAGAGAAACTAACATGCCTGGGGCCTTGGAAAGATGATGAGGGCTTTCTCTATGTGATGTCTTATCATTCACTAGACTATGATTCTTTCTATACAAGTTTCTCAAGAGGGTAAAATCAGAAGATGAAATGCCTCTTGAGGTCTAGATCCTAGCACTCATAGAATATAAGTTTTGTACCATTTTATTGATTCAAGCAAATTACAAGGCCATCCAAGATCCAGGGATGACAAAAGAGGCTATTTTTTAAAAGGAGGAAAGGCAAAATAGCAAAACATCAAGAAGTGTGTACAAATACAGGTAGAATAAATCCTCTGCTCTTTGGGAATGGGGCTCATGCACCTACAATAAAAAGAGACACCTATTCAAGAAGGGGTATGTGAATATTTTGTCTGGTGTTGTGAGAATGACAATGAAAAGAAATGGGAGTAGGGAGAATAGGAAGATTTGAGAATATGGGAACTCCTGAAAATTACCAACTATCCAAACTCTGATACTGAAAGTTTAGCTTAAGATTTTTCGACCTTATAGTTACAGATGATTTGCAAAAATGACTGAAGTTTTCTGCAAAATTGATGTATATGCATGTATGTATTGTTCTCAGAAGAATACCTTCATTAAATTCTCAAGGGTGTCAAGACCCCCAAAGTATATTAAGAACCACTGTCCTAGAGTTTTGGGAAATCAAATCAGATTCCAAAAAGAAATTATTTCATTTCCTTGGTTTCCAGAATTGCCAAAGGGTTTGGCAGGCATCTGCAATGCAGAGTTCTGAAAATAACCTTATAGTTGGGCAATCTTTGTTATTAGTTTAGTCCAATACTGTAAGAATAGGATATGATATCTGACAGGTTAGTTTTCTAGGTTTTGATTATATGAATCAGGTCAGAGCTAGTGGATTACTATGACCATTCTCCACTTCTAACAAAGTATGGGCCAGGATGAACTGAGTAATGATTAAGTGCTTTTTGGTGTAATCTTTCCTCTGTGTAACTCCAGTGTGGGTTCCATTCACAGGAGAACCATCCTGAACTGCCTCTGATTAAGTTAAAGCAAGATGAGGTAAATGCTGCCTGGGACCGTCTCCATGGTCTGGCTCTCCAGCGACAGAAAACCCTATCCAATGCTGCAGACCTCCAGCGATTTAAAAGGTACGGATTTGGCCACTGCAGTTTGGAAAATTTTGAAATTGCACCACATTTGTTATTCTTGTTAGTTTCTAGTCTCCTGCCCTTAGACATTAATAACCAATACTCAAGACAAAGAGGATTGTGTGCTTACCTGTGGAGCAAGAAGGGAAAAAGAGTAGTTAAGAAAACTGGGATTTTCACTGTGGATAAATTTGTGGAGATTGGAACCCAAATCAATAGAAATAGTATTGGGGAATTAGTAATGAAAGCTCTGCAGAGGCAAAGAAAAAAAAAAGAAAAGAAAAGAAAAAAAAAGCTGATTAAGAATTGGATAGGGTTAGAGGAAGAAAGTTGGGAAGAAAAAATGAATTCATGAAGAGCTGACCTAGATATGGTTAGTATTTTTAGGGCTCAATCGTCACAAGACTCGGGTCTCTCACATCTCAGTGGAAATCACTACCAAGAAAACCCCTTTCTAATATTCTTTGCTAAGGAGCTCTGGTAGCATAGTGGCTAAAGCACTTGACTGCTAACCAGAAGGCTGGCGGTTCAAACCCACCAGCCACTCCTCGGAAGGAAGGTTGGGCAATCCTACTTCCGTAGTGATACTGCCTTGGAAACCCAAGGAGGGGTCGCTATGAGTCGGGGCCGACTCAACGGCACATAATAACAACAACAATATTTTTTGCTGACGTGTAGGAGGGCAGGGTAATTGCCACCCTAGGTGATCTAGGGCAGTCCTTGCTATGCACGTCTTTGTTCTGTTGGTCCTGGGATGCTGTCATGTTCTTTTGTTGGAGCTCATGTTGCTGTCTGACAGGGATGTGAGTGAAGCCATCCAGTGGATCAAGGAGAAGGAGCCTCTTCTCATCTCTGCGGACTACGGAAAAGATCTGGTTAGCTCTGAGGCATTGTTTCATAGTCACAAGGGACTTGAAAGGAATCTTGCAGTCATGGAAGACAAGGTAAATCACTATTTAAAGAATGGTTGTCTTATTGCTTGAGTAGATGCAAATGGTGGTCATCTTGTTTACACTATGCCCCCAGAGGGCACAGTAAATTCACTATTTGCAATGAAGGAGAAATTCTGTGGTACTGAGACATACCACATCATTCTATTCCATTACTTAAATTGAATTTATTTAATATTTTAACTCACACACACTATTGTTTCATATAGTCTTGTGGTTGTACTCAGAAATAGATGACTATTAAAAAAAAAAAAAAAAAAAAAAACCTCCAAGGATAGTTTCCTAATCTCATACAGTAAAATATGTCTATGGTCAAGGATTTTTTTCTTTCATCTAAACACTTTCTTCTGTTGCAGGTTAATCGCATTTCTTTTTGTTCTTTAACAAGTATATAAATGACGCATTTTCTTCTTACCCTTTTATAATAAAATTTGAGATCTTTAAAGCACATTACTAAATGTACCTTTAGGTTCCCTTCTTAAAACTGGAAATCTTCATTTCCTTAAGTGGAGGACTGAGCATAGATATGCTAGAACTTAAAGAAAGCCAATATTCTTGAATGATTCTTATCCTTTACTTCTTCCTCTCCGAACTATGCATTACTTAAATCAATTTCAACTGAGTTCTCAGAGAAGCCAGCCCACAGACAGACGCGCACATGCTGTGTTTTCATCATAGCTCCGTCCCTGTATGCAGTTTCTGAAAACTGTTCCATCATTCTACTTCTTTCATTCTTCCTCATTTTTTCCTTTGCTCTCTTTCACTAAGAACTGTTAATGAAATCCCAAATCTTAGATAACACCTTATCATCACTAAGTGGACCTAATAGTAGGAGGTATAAAGTCACTTATGTCTATATTTTGGTCTTAGAAAGACTTTCTTAAGAGTTAAGTTCATAGGCCACTATTGTAAAAGTCAAGAAAAAAGTTTCAGGGAAAAAAAAATAAAAGACGATAACTATTCTTGATAGTTATGCAGGGGTGATTAGGGAAGGGAGGTTAAACTATTAACTTAAGAGTAGACACATAGTAACTTCTGTGAAGGTAAAAATACATTAAAAAACAAACAACACACACACACACACACACAAATCAAATGATACAGCCACTTTGCAAGACAATCCAACGGTTTCTTACAAACTTAAGCTTACGATATGATTCAGTATTTATGCTCCTAGGTCTTTAGCAAAATAAATTGAAAATTTATGCTCACACAAAACCTAAATGAACTTTCTATAGCAGCTTTGTTCATAATTGCCCAAAATAGGAGGCAGCCAACGTCTCTTCCAATTACTACTATTTATTCTCTTATACTGTTACTAGTAGTATAGTAGCAGTGAGGATCTTTACTTTGCAAGGAAAAGGTTAGATTTAGCCAAAAGGTGGATTTTATTATAAGGATAAAGGCAATTTCAGAGAATCCAGAGAAAATACTGGAACTAGGTCTTGGAAAGATGAATGGTCTGTTTCTCATTTCTGTTTCAGTTAACAGATCTCATCTATTTTACTCTCTTTCTCTCTGTTTTTGTCTCCCTGTCTCTCTTTCTACCCAGATAAAAGTCTTATATTAAATTATTCAGACCTTTGTGAAGGACTTGATGGCAGTGAGGATTTTTTTTTTTTTTTTTTTTTTTTGATGTGAAGTAGTAATTTCTCTGTAAAACTGGAATGACGCCACATGATGAAGCTGCTGCTGCTGATTATAATCTACTTTCTATATTGGAAAATAAGGATAATAATACCTATTTGGTAGTAGTATTGTTGGAAAAATAAGACAAAATCATGTATGCAGAACATTGAGCACAATTCTTGAAGCATTGAGAGGCAGAAAGAGAAAGACGTGCTTATAATTATCTGGTATTACTGGAATTTCCTTAGTCTGCAAGGAAATAATGTTTTCTTACTTACACAATAATACATAGGGAAATAGTACAGAGAGGTGGTAAATGACACATTTGAACTAAGCCTTGCTTCAGACACTTACTAGAGCAAATAAATCACTTAACTTCTCAGTTTTCACATATATAAAAGGGATTGACAATAGTATCTGCCTTATAGTATTATTAGATAAAGAATTGATGAAAAATATTAAATGAGAACATACATGTAAAGAACTTAGTACAATGTTAGACAAAATATTACTCAGTAAATTATTATTATTACTACAAAGCATTAGTATATTAACATAAAAATACTTACATGAATAAATAATTGTTATTCATGTTATTGTTTTGTTACACCACACACACACACACACACACACTCATCTTTGCTAGGGGAAATAAGAGTGCTTGGGTTTCGTACTAAGTTTCTTTTTCATCCCAAAGGTGAAGGAGTTATGTGCCAAAGCAGACAAGCTGAAGGTCTCTCATCCTTCAGATGCACCTCAGATCCAGCAAATGAAGGAGGATCTAGTCTCCAACTGGGAGCACATCCGCGCCTTGGCTACCAGCAGATATGCAAAGCTGCAGGCTTCTTATTGGTGGGAAATCCCTCTTTCCTATTGCTGTCTCTATCTGTACAGGGCCCAGGTACAATATCAAAAGCAGAAATAAAAGAGTAAAGGGAGTACAATAACCAGTGGCTCAGTCCTCTTGCCTGCTCAGTAGTAGCAAAATAAGTGTTTGTTCTCTGATGGAAGTCCTTTGCAGGCTGACATAACCCTTAGCATCACACTGCTCCTCACTTCCATCTTTTCTGTCTTCCATGGTTTGTATAGCTGTAAGTTGCTATGACATGACCCATGAAGCTGGAAAAGGAGCTGAACCATAAACTTATTCAAAAACTTGGCTGGGTCTGGTTGAGTGGCTGGGAAACTGGTGGTAGTTATTACCCATGATGAGACTGGCAATCAACTCCATGGTGGGATCTACCACAAGCAGCTGAATAGCTACTTTGCAGATGTGGTCTGCTTCCCATACATAAGAAGCAGCTTGGGGAATGGTCTCTAGCTTATGGCAAGCTTGAACCCTGCATGTAGCCGAGTTATTCAGCAGCCTGGGTTAGCTCTGCTGATCCTGGGACTTTCAATGGACCTGAATCAATGGGCTGTTGTGTTGTTTGATAATGTTGGGATTGTGCCATTTTATTTGTCGACCTTGGACTTAATCAGCCTCAGCAGCCAGTAGCTGCCTGAATGAAGAGATGCCTCTAGCTTCAGTGGGCCGAGAGCAAGAGGCAGAGCTGAAGCCCTGGGCCCCCAGGGCCTGGCACTTGAAACTTGGACTTCTAGCCTCCAAAAATTCTAAGAATAAACTCCTGTTTGTTAAAGCCATCTCATTTGTGGTATATTTCTGTCAGAATGGCACTAGAGGCAACCAAAACAGGAGCTAGAATGAAATCTCAATGCTGAATAACGTCAAAATAAATTTTTAAAATTTGGATTAAGAGCTTCCAAAAAAAAAAAAAAAAACCCTGATAAGTGGATACCATTTCAATAGTTAATTCACATGATTAGTTATCAAGTCAGCCAAAGATAGCACTCCTCTCATTGTTAAGATTTAAACTTAAATGGTGAGCAGTTAATTTTATTGAATAAATTACTTATTATTATTATTGATAGTGTTAAAGAGATTTGACATATATGAGGTGCTATGAACTCGAATTCTTGCTCCCTTCCCCTACAAGGTGCTTCCTATTGCTTACAGAGCATGTGCTTACTTACTTGGGAGCACATGACTCCATGTCATGTATCTTTGTGGTTAAGGGTCTGGGGATGCATTGTATGATTATTCTTTGTGGAGGAAAGAGAAAGAAGCCAATTTACCTTCATTTACTGAATAAAATAAGTTTGCAATTGCTGGTCAGACAAAGACTAATTGTGAGATAGATATGGAGATATAGATAGATAGATAGGTAGATAGATCAGTTAGATTGATACCATAGGAGTCCCTGGGTGGGAGGAATGTTTAACACAACTGGCTGCCAACCACAGGGTTAGAGTTTGGGGTTAACCCAGAGGCACCTTGGAAGAAATGTCTGGTGATCTGCTTCTGAAAAAAAGTCATTGAAAACCGTATGGAGCAGTTTTACTCTGATATATATGGGGTCCCCATGAGTAGGAGTTGACAGCAACTGGTTATACATAAAGTAAAGAAACTTCAGCAGTTTTATTATTTTTTTATTTTATTTTTATTGTGCTTTGCCTATATGATTGCATTTCCTTATGACTACAGCTCTATAGTGGAAATGATCTTTAGGGCAGACATGACTTTGTGGTGTTGTGGTGTGAATATAAAGGTCACATGTATTGTCACACAAGGACATACCTTCTCCAGGGATGTACAAACTGGTGTCAGAGATGTATAATCTGCATCAGTAAGGAAACTTGGACTGTCAATAGCAGGAAGTACATCAGGGGGATAGCAGAGACCTGGGTTAGTATTAGCAGTGCCTGGCACAGCTTAATTGAACCCAGCCCTGACTCTCTGTCAAAATCCTCTCACATCTGATTTCTCTTTCCTGATGTTTTCTTACCTTCCCCGCAGGTACCAACGCTTTTTATCTGACTATGATGAACTTTCTGGCTGGATGAAGGAGAAGACTGCCCTGATCAATGCTGACGAGCTGCCTACAGACGTGGCTGGAGGGGAAGCCCTACTGGACAGGCATCAACAGCATAAGGTACAGAGGGAAGTTCTCCCCATCAAGAGGAGGAGGGTAGTAACCAGGTTTCTTTCTGCATTTTGAGACATTTTATCCTGTGGCCACAGCATGAGATTAACTCTTATGATGACCGATTTCAATCTGCTGATGAGACTGGTCAAGACCTTCTGGATGCCAATCATGAAGCCTCTGAGGAAGTTCGGGAAAAGGTAACCTAGTTTAACAGAGTGTGTGATTTCAATGACATGTTTGTTCCTCACTTAATCCCATAATAACATGGTAATATTCAAGTGGGAAAGGGATAGAAGGCATCCAAACATTATAATAATATAACCCAACTTTCACACTACCGTCTTTCACATATGCCAAGCTTTAGCTAAATCGGGACACTTTTATTTCTCAGGTATACTTTGTGATTTCTTGCCTCTGCAATGTTTTCTAATCAACTTCCTAATTTTGCATTATTTAAAACCCCCATTCCATCCTACTTGGCCACATATGCTCTGTCTTATCACTTCTCCATTCCCACCACTAATTGTACATTCTATGAGGTGCTCTGGTTGTGTAGTGCTTAAGGCATTTGACTGCTAACCAGAAGGCTGGCAGTTCAAACACTCCAGCCTCTCCTCAGAAGGAAGGTTGGGCAATCTACTTTCGTAGTGATACCACTTTGGAAACCAAAGGAGGGATCAATACGAGTCAAGGCTGACTTGACGGCACATAGCAACAGCAACAACAACAACATGAGGTGGCATAATACCTAAGGCATTTGCCTGGTAACCAGAAAGAAGCCTGGAAATTCAAACCCAGAAGCCACTCCTCAGAAAGATGATTGGGCAATATACTTCTGTAGAAATACTGCCTCAGAAACCCAAGGCGTTGCTATGAGTCAGTTTCAACTTGACAGCAGTGAGTTATGAACACTGGATCTTTGGGAGGCTTATGGTGCCTAGCACAGTGCTAGGTGCATTATAGGAACCTGTACTTTTTCCTTCACTCCTCTATACCATCAAATCAAACTGATTTTCCTCTACCTTTTTGTTCTCAAATTTACGTTAAATAACTGAGAAGTGTTAAACACTTAGAATTCCAATGAATGAAGAACTCAAGTCTTCCTTCACCCTAGCTCTTGGATCACAGGGACCCACCTCAGCCCCCAGATTCAGAGAGATTCTGTTCCAGTCACAGAGACGTGGGCACTCTTTGGAATGATGATGAGAAAAGGATTTGCAGTCCTTTTTGTATGTCTCTAGATTTCAAGTAGGAGCTCTGGTAGTATAGTGCCTAAGGCACTTGACTGCTCACCAGAAGGCTGGCAGTTCTAACCCACCAGCCACTCCTTGGAAGGAAGGTTGGACAATCTACTTCTGTAGTGATACCACCTTGGAAACCCAAGGAGAGGTTGCTATGCGTTGGGTTGAGATGAGTCAGGCAAGGTTAACAACAACAGATTTCAAGTACAATCTCTAGCGCTGTGTGATGGGTGAAGTTAAGATAACCATGTTTTGAATTCCTCCAGACCATGTTTTGAATTCTACCAGAACTCTGAGGTAAGAGTATAAAATGAACTTTTATTATTAACAGTTTTCTGCAAAAGGGATCGGGGTGTCTCTAAGTCATTGACAACTTGACCTACTGTCCTGGAATTCTGAGAATCTGGGCTGTCTTTTTGATGAAGTCAACATGACAGGAGCTATAAACTGGGATTTCTTGGGTGAATGCTTTGTAGCAACAAAGATTTTTATGAGTTTGAGAATGCTCAATTTCCTTTTTCTTGATGATTTTTATTTGCTTTTGTAATAAAATACAACTTCTCAATCTGGCGGCCTTTTGAGTGCTCTCTGTGCTTGAACTTCATCAAACACACTGCCTTTTTGCACTCTGCACTTTTCTCTGCAGCACCTGGTACACCCTAGTGGTTACTTCAAGTTCCAATACTATTTGCTCAGGATAGTACATCCTCCTATAATCCTGATCCCCACCACTCTTTAAATCTGTTTGTATAATTCTTCCCATATTTTCACTACCTGGTTCTTCCAATAATAATTAATCTTTTATTCTTCCTTTAAACATATTAAGAGCTTTACAACTCTTTTATTTCATTTATGCCATTTTTCCTCATAAGTGTAAGTTAGAGTTATTTGCTTAAATGTTAGAGCCATTAAGAGTAAAGCTCATTTTCTGTTCATCTCTGTATCCTTCAAAAAGCCTTTCCTTTATTAGATGCCAGGTAATCGTAGAATACATTACATTAATTAAATATATTTCCATTGTATTTTCTCCTCCTTTACAAAGATGGAAACACTTGCCAACAACTGGGCTGCCCTGCTGGGACTGTGGGACAAACGTCAGCATCAATATGAGCAGTGCTTGGATTTGCACCTGTTCTACCGAGACAGTGAACAAGTAGACAGTTGGATGAGCAGGCAAGAGGTAACAGGACAGATCCAAACAATCTCCATAAATCATTTCCCCATCCTTCAATACCACTATGATCACCATCACCAACCTCAAAACTACTTTTCTAGATCAAAGCTTGTTCTGGGAATTGGACGGTGATCCACGAGAAAAAAAAAAAAAAAAATGAACCCTCTCTACAAGGATCCTTCTATTTCCTCAGAAACAAGTGCTTAGAGTAATACTTAAATACATAGCATAGAAGCTATCATCACAATTGAATATAAAGCGAAATTACTATCCAATTGCTAACGGGTCAGGAAGAGAAAATTGTGATGAGTCAGGCAAGGTTAATAAGGGAAGGATTTCTGGAGAAGGTGATTGGGTCTCTTGAAGTGGCTTTTGAGACCTCAGAATAGTGTCTACGTTGGTCGGGGGAATTCTATGGGGACAGACCCAGAGACAGATGAGACGGTTGTATGAGATATATGAGAAGGAGGTTTTAAACTTCTGGTATTTGAGGTTTGTCTCTACCTGTTTTCCCACATTGTGCCAACTACTACTTTGCTGTCCTGCCCCCTTGCCTCTCTCCTTTGCTTATCTCAGGGATATTCAAAGGGAACTGTTTCTCATCATTTAGGCTCATCTACAATATCTTGATCTATCTCCTACAGGCCTTCTTGGATAATGAGGACCTGGGAAACTCCTTGGGAAGTGTAGAAGCCCTTCTTCAGAAGCATGATGACTTTGAGGAAGCTTTTACTGCCCAGGAAGAAAAGATCACAGTAAGAAATGAACCTTGGCTTGGCTATTGGGATCCATGTTTGCATAAATCTTCTCACATAACAACACTTGTCCTTAGATAAAACAACCCTACAACCACCAAGTGTCCCTAAATGACTCAGAGTTAATATGCTTGGCTGCTAACTGAAAGGTTGCGAGTCCAAGTCCACTCAGAAGTATTGCAGAAGAAAGAACTGACAATCTAAAACACCAGCCATTGAAAGCCCTACAGAAACAGTTCTACTCTGACACACTTGGGTCATCATCAGTTATAAATTACTCAATGGTGACTGATTTTATTTTATTTTCCAACCACATGGACATCACATGGGGGTTATTCTTAAAAGAGAAAACATTGAAAAAAAAGTTTATATTTATTCTCAACAATGCACTTTTTGTTCTATAAAGCATATTCAGAAAGTTTTTCAGGATGTCAAGCCATTTTTTTCTTGTTTGTATTTGATGTAGTGCTTGATTATGCCTTGTTCTTTTTCTTCTTTGTAAACGAATTATTGGAGCCATATTCGATATAAAATCATTACTTAAGAGTTTGAAGTATATTATTTAGATTTTTCTTCTCTAGTAATATCTTTCATCTGCCACCCATGTGATTGTTTGTCAAACTGTGAGTTGCATGGGCAGATCTGCTGTAAAAGACAGCACTTTTTTAAAGTGTTAAAAAGCAAAGATGTCACTTTGGGGACTAGGCTGCACCAGACCAATGGCATAGTATTTTTAATCACCTCATAAGTATGCAAAAGCTGTATGATGAATAAGGAAAACCAAAGAATTAACGTATTTGAACTATGGTATTGGCAAAAAGTATTGAATGTGCTGTGGACTGCCAGAAGAATGAGTAATGTCATGGTTATTTCAAATCTTTCTTGGAAAAAGTATAGCCAGAATGCTCCTTAAGAGTGAGGATGGCAGGCTCTGTCTCACATACTTTGGGCTTGTAATCATGAGTGAAGAACCTCTGGATAAGGACATCATGCCTGGTAGAGGGGCAGCAAAAAAGAGGAAGACCCTCAACAAAATGACTTGACACAGTGGCTGCAACAATGGACTCAAACATAATGACAGTTGTGAGGATTGTGCAGGACAGGACAGTGTTTGGTTCTGTTGCATGTAGGGTCACCATGAGTCAGAGCCAACTTGAAGGCACTAACAACAACACAACAGTAATACCTCAACTTATTTTCCTCTTCTTTATTAATATCTAGATACTTAAGTAATATTTTCGGAAGGAAGATGGGGTAATCTACTTCCGTAGTGATACTGCCTCGGAAAGCCAAGGAGGGGTTGCTATGAGTCGGGTCCGACTCGATGGCACATACCAACCAAACCAACCAATAATGTTTATTATTTTCATTTATATTATACTATACCTTTCATTATATTTGTATTTCACTTCTAATCCTACTACAGAGTTTTCTGGTGGCCCTTAAGTTACAATGTCCCAGAAAACTGGGCAATATGTAAACAGGGCTCAGAGTACTATGAGGAAAACTTGAGGGGTCCAATATACTGCATACCTTTCTTTCACTGTCTCCTAGAACGGTGCTAGCTTCAAGTTGACACAAACACAACCACCACCAGCACCACCACCAACAACAGCAATTAAATTCAAAGCCTTCAGTATTAATCTTCGATCGACACAGAGCTTAATATGTACTTGTTAGGTGCCATTGAGTCAACTGTGACTCATAGCAACCCTGTGAACAACAGAATGAAGCACTCCCCACTTGTGCTGCACCCTCACAATCCTTGCTGTACTAGAGCCCGTTGTCACAGCCACTGTGTCAAACCATCTTGCTGAGGGTCTTCCTCCTTTTCACTGACCCTCTGCTTTACCAAGCATGATGTCTTTCTCCAGGGAATGACTCTTTCTGACTGTATGCCAAAGTAAGTGAGATGAAGTCTGACCATTCTGGCTTCCAAGGAACATTCTCGCTGCACTTCTTCCAGGACAATTTTTTTGTTCTTCTGATAGACCATGGTATTTTCAGTATTCTTTGTCCACACCAGAATTCAAAGGCATCCACTCTTCTTTGTTCTTTCTTAATCACTGTCCAGCTTTCACATGCATATGAAGTGACTGAAAATACCATGGCTTGGGTTAGGTGCATCTTACTCTTCAAAGTGATCATTCTTCTTCTTAACACCTTAAAGAGGTCTTTTGCAGCAGATTTTCCCAGTGCAATAAGTTGTCTTATTTCTTGACTGCTTTGTCCTTGAGTGTTGATTGTGGTTTCAAGCAAAATGAGCTTAATATAGTCCTTTGTTAATGCATATGTTTGTCCTATTGATTTTCAATGATAAAAGCTAATAGTGTAAAATAACTGAGGGAAAATCACCTCATCTCTTTTTTTTTTCAGACTTTAGATGAGACAGCTACCAAATTGATTGACAATGACCATTATGATTCAGAGAAAATTGCTGCTATACGGGACGGGGTATGTCCAAGGTCCTAGATGTTCACAGGTCTTCCCAAGAACTGGGGTCAGAGAAGTGTTGGGGTCATGGTGACCAGGGTGGGCAGTGAAGCTCATGTGTCTACACATTTGGTTTTGCTGACAGTTTGCTTATGTTCTTTTGCAGTTGTTGGCCCGGCGAGATGCCCTACGTGAAAGGGCTGCCACTCGGCGCAGATTGCTTGAGGATTCTTTGCTTCTGCAACAACTGTATCAGGACTCAGATGACCTAAAGACCTGGATCAATAAAAAGAAAAAGTTGGCAGATGATGAAGATTATAAGGTAGGTAGGCTGTACCAGCCTTGGACATAATAATCAGGAGTTACTTTCATGAAATTATAGTCTTGGAGCTGAAAGAGCCACGATCCAAAGAAGCTTCAGTCATATTCAGGGTCAGCAAATAATAAGAAATAAATGCTGGGATTGATTAGCCGTAATTGAGTTTTATCTAGAATAGAGGAATGGTGGTAGGAGTTTTCCAAGCAATTTCCCATACTTGATGCAGTTGGCTTTACGGTGAAAATGATATTCTGTCTTCAAAATCTCTGTCCCTCATTCTTCAGGTAATGATTGCCCGCCCCCATCCCCTGCTTTTTTTTTTTTTCCTGTCTTGTTTCAGGATACACAGAATTTGAAGAGCCGAGTACAAAAGCAGCAGGTCTTTGAAGAGGAATTGGCAGCTAATGAGATTCTATTGAATAACCTAGAGAAAACTGGCCAGCAGATGATTGACAGTGATCACTATGCCTCTGACAATGTGGCTGCCCGTGTGAGGGAAGTTGTCAGCCTCTGGAAGAAATTGTTGGAGGCAACAGCACAGAAAGGTTAGAAGCAGAGGTTTTGGTGAAAAGCCAATTCTTAAGTTATGAAACCTAGCTCTTTTATCTTTACCACCATAAATATACCTGGTAATCGCTGCAAAAAGGGGTGCCATTCCTCCTAGTATCTTCCTAGGAAATAAATCCCAGCATTTATTTCTTATTATTTGCTGACCCTGAATATGACTGAAGCTTCTTTGGATCGTGGCTCCAAGACATATTTTCATCATGTATGCAGGGTTTTTTTTTTTTTTTTTTTAAAACCACTGAAATTACTTTTGTTTTCTTTACTTTTCTCTCTTTTTTTTTTTCTTTCTCTTATAAATATTTGGGAAGCATGGATTCATTATTGGCTGTGAATCTAAAATTAATGTCCTTAAATTAGGCCACTAATTTAAATAAATTAGGACACAATGGACTGTAGTCTACAGGCATTGTAATCTACAGACTGTAGTTTACAGTCTATATTATGATTAAGGTTATTAAATTAGATATTAAAAGATTATTGATGCCAATATGTGCTATCCCTACAACATTTTATTCTTATAAATAAGTCATGATAATTTTTTGCTTTTTTCACCTATCTGCAAGTGTTCAGGCTCTGCTATATGCTCTTAAAAGTTTTTCACATATCTTCCTGAATAGTCTTGCATTCAACTACACTTCTTACTTTGGAAAATTAATCAACAGTCAGCAATTAAAGCAAGAAATAAGTTTAGCTGTCAGACTTCCCCTTGTTATGAAGGTCATCTATAGATAAACTCTGCTCTGGTTACAGAGGAGTTATGTCCTACTAATTTGTTTTGATAGCGTGTGCATCTCCAGTTAGGGGGAAAACAAGTCTGACTTGGCAGTAGCAGTAAGAGGTCTCTGTTACTACTCCCCATTTCCTCATCATCAGGAGACACAGACATTGCTAGATGGACATAATGCAATTAATTGTAAGATTATAGAATAAAGACTTTAGCTGAGAACAGTGTGGATAATCAAGACAGGTTTACTGAAAGAGACACTTAAAATCTTAAATCAAGCCCACTCCACGTTTTCCATGTCTCTGGTCAAGTGCAGTGTTTGGTTTAATTATCTTTGAAAATCAGGTTTCGTAAGAGAAGAACAAATGGCATATGAAAATACCTAGAATAGTTAAAATCTTACACAGCAGTGCTCTAACTCACCTATACATATAGCTTATTGTTTGTCTTTGTTTTGAGAACTTTACAGTGTTCAAAAATAAATACCATTGTAATTCTATAAATTTAAGGTGATTTCAGATATGATCTCAAGTGAGACATTGATCTGCATATTTCCCCACTTTAGAATATGAAAATGGCATATTGCTGTTTTTTTTTTTTTTAATTGTGATTTGGGTGAATGTTTATAGAGCCAATTGATTTTCCACTCAACAATTCATACAAGTTTTGTTCTGTGATGTTGTTGTTGTTGTTATGTGCTGTCGAGTTGGACTGACTCATAGAGACCCCTCCTTGGGTTTCCGAGACAGTATCACTGCGGAAGTAGATAGCCCAACCTTCCTTCCGAGGAGTGGCTGGTGGATTTGAACCGCCAGCCTTCTGGTTAGCAGTCAAGTGCCTTAGCCACTATGCTACCAGAGCTCCCATGATAGTGCAATGGGCACTCTTCCCATTTGCCTTCCTTTTTTTTTTTTTTTTTCAACCATTTGCCTTCATCATTCTTTTCCATTCCTTCCTGTTTTCTTAGCTTTATCCTGGGGCAAACACTGCCCTTTTAATCGCCTGTAGTTGATTGTTCTAATGAGTGCACACCTTCCTGGTATTTTTGCCCACCTTATAGGCCTGTCTATTACTTGGCTGAAAGTTGAGCCATGGAGGTTGAGTTCAGTTCCTGGCTTGAAGGGAGTCTAAGGGTTATAGTCTTAGGAGTGCCACCAGTCTTTATCAGACCAGTAAACCTGGTCTTTTTTATGATTTTGACTTTAGTTCGACATTTTTCTCCCACTGCTATTGTGATCCCTTTCAGAACAGTCAGTGGTGGAAGCTTGGCAGCATTTATTTATTCTGGTCTCAGAGTTGTGGAGGTTGGTGTTCATGTTGTCCATTAGTCCTATGGACCAATTGTTTCCTGGCATCTTTGATTTTTTTCATTGTTCTTTGCTCTGGATGAGGGCAGACCACTAGTTGCACCTTAGATAGTTGCTTACAGCTTTTAAGACTCTAGGGTGTACATCTATCTGTTCGTGTCACAGATCTTATCTCTCTGAGGTATACATTAGTATTGTTGTCTGGTAGTGTAGTGCCTAAGGCACTTGACTGCTAACCAGAAGGATGGTGGTTCAAACCCACCAGCCACTCCTCAGAAGGAAGGTTGGGCAACCTACTTCAGTAGTGATACTGCCTCAGGAACTCAAGGAGGAGTTGCTATGAGTCAGGTCTGACTCGACGACACATAGCAACAACAACAACATAGCAAATAGTGTT